ATCATTTCTTCTCTCGAGACGATCTTTCGAAAGATGAAGAGTTTCAAATACTGACCCAAGCGTAGAACTATCAGGAATTGTTTCAGCGATATAAATTGCACGTTGCATTACCGGAGAGACGATGCTTTCGCAGAATGCAAATTTTCTCCGTTTAATTGCAGGACACTCGAGTCATCTAAACGGTCGATTCTTCTCTAAATAGTACGAATGAAATGAAAATAATGTAGCATAATTATAAACGGTACGTTACGTACATTACTTGCGTATTCTTCAAACGTTTTAACCATGCGGCATTCGATGTTGCGAACATCGGTCGGAAATGCGTGAAATCTGCAGAAACGAGAGCGAAACTGTCCGAAAAATGGCGGCCATGTTCGATCGGCGATCGAACCGAGCGTCCTCCGAGCGGATAGCACAAGATCCCAGGCCGAGAATCGTCATCCCCGCGGTTCGTTAACCATCGTCGTCGAAAGAGGACGAGCGTGTAGAGGGGTGCCGACGACGACGGGAAGCTAATGAAAGCTCAGAAAATGATCGTTTAACAGCGATTCCCTGGCGCAATAAAGCGGCGGGCATGGCATTCGTTCATTTACGAAGCGATACAAGACACCGAGGCGCGTTTAAATTCGAAGAGCGCATTCGAACAGAACCGCGATCGACAGCGAGCAAAACGAGCAGGAATAAGAATAAGAAGAACTATCGGCCGGAGAGAGCAACAGTCTGAGACGGTGGAACGGCGGAGGAGGCGGCGGAGATGTAGAAGAAGAAGAAGGCGAAGAACGTGCAACGAAGCACGAGGAACGAACGAAGAAGCGGAGTACAAAGGATAGAACTCGCGAAGAGAGAGGAGAGAGGTGAGAGAGGAGAGAAGAGAGACGGCGAGCGGTGCGAACTCGGGTGGAAAAGGAGCCACCCGCGGCTGAAGAAAAGGACGAAAGAAAATCGAGGGGAACAACGACAACGACGACGATGGGAAGAGAGAAGAGAGAAGAGAGAAGGGTGGAGGGAGGAGGGGGGATGAAGAGGTGCCTCCGGAGTCTCTCTCCCGAGGGTCGGCGACGGGGGACGCGGCGGAGGAAGAAAATGAGCGAGACCGTGAGCGATAACGCAGAGAAAGAGAATGAGGGCTGCGAGGGAGAGAGTGTTTGCTCGCGTTCGAGGGCTGTAGACGGGAGCGAGAGGAAGGTCGAGAGCGAGAGAGAGAGAGAGAGAGAGGGAGAGAGAGTGAGAGGGAGAAAGAAAGAGAGAGAAGAGAGAGAGAGAGAAAGAGAGAGAGAACAGGACGGCAAGAAGAGAGACGGAACTGGTCGCATTCCGCGGGACAAGAGCCGTGTGGAAGAGACGGAGGGAACGGGACAAAAGAGGATCACGCGGGTGATTACAACATTAATAAACAAATGAGCCTCGAGGCGGGAGAATTTGCCATCCAATCGGGTTCCGGAGGCGGACACGAGGCGGAGCCACCTCCGACCAACCTCGAGGGTCTGCCGAGGACAAGCTCTCCCTCTCTCTGGCCTCTCTCTGGCCTCTCTCTCCTCCTCTCTCGAGGAACGATCGCGGTGGCTCTCCTTCTTCAGCGATCCCGGCCGCCTCACTCGCTATCGCCGGAGACTATAGCCGCACTTTTACGCGGAACACCGAGATACCGCCGCGCCACGCCGCTCCGCGCCGCGCCGACAACACGCGGCGACCACGTTTGTCCGATCGGCCCGAAACGCTTTTGCCACCCTTTTCGCCTTTCTTCCACATCCTCGCCCGAATCTCTCACGGTTTTCCTGGGTCCATCGAGCCGAATTTTGGTTCCTGGTTCCTTCGAGAAATTTACTTCCGAGGATACTTGCCGATCGACGTAAGATTTAAGGGAGTCTCCTGAACAACTTGGGTGGTTCGTCGTTTTGGAAGTTTTTCGAAGGAAATGTCCAACGAGATTTCGAACGATTCTTCCTTCTATATAAATAATTGTAAAGCTGTTTTTGAAAAGCGTTCTCCATGTTCGAAGGTAGTTTTTGGTAGCTGCGGTTCACTTTGTTGGAGAACGAACGAGGTGGAGAACTTGTAGGACTCTCCTGTTTCTTCGTCGACTCCGAAATTGCTTTCCTCCTAGATCAGACATTCCTGTTGATTTTAGAAAGATTTTTCAGCAGACGATGCCTCGAGACAAACAAAGTCGTAAGGGTAGCTACGATACAAGGGATTCGCCAAGCAACTAAATTCTTCACGACGGTGTCGTCGTCTGACACAACCCCAGATCCTCGCGATTCGTACAATGAATTCAGAAAATCCTACGTTATTCTTTGGCGCATAAATTTAACCAATGATCTCTCTTCTAGATTCGTACAATTGTTCCGAAAACATTGACTCGTTCTTCGACGCACGAATGAGAATGCAGAGGACATATACGGTGATCGGTTTTGCAGACCGAATCTTTTCGATCGACGAATGTCCATGGTTCCCAAGATAGCGTGCGGCATATTAATGGGAATGTTAATAGAAAGAGGGATAATCGAGGGCGATAATTGAGCTACCGATCGAGGATCGATGGAAGAACCGATCCTACGTGGCAGGCACGGTTGACGTTCCCGTGGATATGATACGCGCTGTCTGACAGGGACCTTCGCTTACTACTCGCATGTAGGTTAAACGTTCGAAATTAATCAGTCGTGGACATTCTGCTCACGACGATGCCGGCGCGGCGTCGACACGCGCTAACGTGTGTCGATGCATTCTAGGAACCTGCTGTGGGCGGACGCGAAATCGTGGAAGGACCTTCATTCACGGTCCTCGCTGTTCGTCGCCAAACCGTGGAATTCCAGACGATCCTTGTTTCTTACGAACAATTGTCGTGGAAACCGAGGAGAAACTTGGTCATCGGTGGTCCTTGCGATGCTTCACCGTACCTCGGATTTTCCGTCGATCCTAATTTCTTCGGGCCAACGTGTCCTAAAGCCAACAAAGTTCTTTCAACGCCTTTGCCTCTTTCGTAGGAAACGATCGAATCACTTTCTCAGTCCAATTTCAATAAAAATTGTGAAAAGTCTAGGTAAGTTCAGTCTTGTCATCGTTGCGAAGCAACACGCGTCGGTCGATTTTAATCGATTGTCCAAAAAAATGATGATCGCGATGGTTGTAGGGGAAGATGGCGAGAATCGAGGTTTTCGCCGGGTTTTGCGGTGCCGTCGCGTCGCGTCGCGTCATCGTCGTCGTCGGTGCGAAAGTAGATCCAGGGTTCGGCAGGGCGACGAGAGGAGGGTGCCAGAGCTGCGCTTCGTATCCCGTGAGAGTATCGATCGTAAATCATAATCGTGGCCGGGTCCTGGTCCGGGTCCGGGTCCGGGACCGAGGGAATCGCGAGGGAGGACAAACGACGTGAGAAAGGAAGCGAAATAGCGAGCGGTTCGTGGATAACGAGCGTTATAGGGAGCCCGAAGGGCACGCACGTAGGGTTAGGTCTTGCCGGGCTGAAATGGAGGTCGAGGCTCGCCTCGTGGGTGCCTCTCCTTAATCTTTCAAGGAATTAGGCTGCCCGGGGCCGCGCCCTTTCCTGCATTCGACGAGTTCCAGGCTCGTTGCCGCGCTCTCGGCTCACGAGCATCCTTCGGCCGACCGGAAGCTGGCCATTACCCGGACACTTAATAGTCCGTGAAAACAATAGAATTACCCGGAGGCACCGCGAATCGAATAAAAATCGAGCCGCGCGTCCCGCCAGCACGATAAAAGGAGGAAATTGAAGCCGGGCTCTAATCGTTCTGGAAATCTATCGTGGAACCGAGACGTTCCGGAAAATTGCCGTCCCAACCCTAGCCGGCCGTTGTCGCCCGTTGCAACACGTTTCCAAGCTTCGAAAGGGACCTCGGCTCACGGCGTATGGCACGCACCATTGCTCGTCGCGTTGCGTGCAACCACACGTGACCGGAGAGCCTCGGACCCGTTCCGGTGTACCGCTCTTTCGAGAGAGTTTGATTGAATAGTCGCGGCCCGATGATGGAGCGTTGTCTTGCCGGCCAGGCACTCGACAGCGGGAACCCTGGCGGAATGAGAAATGGCCAAACTTAGGCCAACTTCGCTCGGTAGTGCGCCAACGTCTCCTGGAACGGAGCCGATCGAACCGGGGACCGACCGTTCCCTCGACCGTTTCGTCGAGCTTTCGCGAGAACGGTGCTTTCGGTCCAGAGAATCTTCGCGATTGCGATTTCAATTTGCGCGTACGTTCGCAAGCTTTTTAAATCATCCGCAAGAGTTTCGTGTATTCGCGACGCACGCGTTCGAACGCCTCTCGAGGCTGTCGATGTTCCAAAAGTATAACAGCGTGAAAGCAGAATTTATCGCTGCCTTAAGCGTCGTCTGATCGGGGAAGGCTGGATCTACTTGGGCCCGAAGCGCGTCTCCTGTTTTCGACGGATCCGGACGACGCTTTGCCATCGACCGGTCAGCTCGTTCAGCCATTATCGTTCGACGTAACGATAGACGTAAAACCAGAAACTGATCGACAAGCCAGGTCTAGGAAACGGATCCCAAAACGTCAACCGCGGAGCATCCGGCTGCACGGGAAACAAAACGTTTTCCATAAAACATCCTCGGAGCGATCGAGGTGGCAATTCCCGAGAATCGACAAATCAGAATCGGCCCGGTTCTGACACGACCGGGGCCCCGAAGAGCTCGGATCCCCCAAAAAAAGGAGCACGACGACCGCGGGGGCAGGCTCGATTCTTATTCATCGATTACGCGGTGGCAGAGTCAGAAGGTCCAGGTTGACGCGTCCCCTTCGTCCTTAGGAGGAAGGGTCCCGGGGCCAGAATTCCGGTAGTGATAAAACTTGCGAACCGTCTTCCTAATTCGAGACGTGGAAGCGCTCCCCGTGTGTCCTTTTAGCATAATCCTCGGCCGGACAAGGGACCCACGGTGAGTAGGAACACAGAGAGGAGTCAGCCACGAAGGACACACACGCGGGGAACGACACACCGGGGATCGGTCTCGTGTCCACGGTCAATCCCCATGCGTCTATGTGTCCATCTATATGTGGTGAGTCCCGCGCCGGCAGCCCTGGCGCGCATCAGCAACAGCACCGAGCCACCAGCAGAAGCAGAAGCAGGAGCCAGAAGCAGGCGGCCCAGCACCAGCACCAGCACCAGCACCAGTACCAGCATCGGCACCAGCACCAGCACCGCCAGCCAGCCAGGCAGCGGGAGCAGCAACGTTGGCCATCGCGTTGTCTGATCATCCTCGCCCTAATGAAGGCTGGTTTATCTGAAGGCTTTCGATTCCCAGTAGAACCCATACCACACGTATGCAGTGGTGGTGGTGGACACCTTCGCGGTGGTGCTAGCCACCAGCTCGTACATCCGCGCGCAAAAGTCTTGCCCCGATCCGAGCACGGTATCTTCGAGACTCGGACGATTGGCACGGAGCTGCTGCTAAAATACGGAAGCTGGCTCCATACGGCTCCGATCGTTCCCGAGGTCTCGCCTTCAAATTCTGTCGTTTCCTTTCCATCGCCGTGGCTCGAACGATGCCGGAACAGCCGTCTCAAGATTCAAAAAGTCTCTCCGCGTAATTCGTTGCACCGGGCGAGAAATTGTTCGATCGATTAACAAAGCAAGAAGTTATCGAGAAAAATGATTAACCTCTGGCCGGGCGTGGCATAATCGTTGAAAGGCTTGATTATAGGCTTCCGGTAGCCGAGGATGACGAATGTTATTCCTTTGCTGCTCTTTTGCTATTGGCGCGTAAGTGTGGGCGTTGCGAATCCTCGCGCAAGTACCTGTTTTCGTGCTTTCAATCGTCTCCGATCGTATCGCGCATATTTGGGAGCAGTCGCTGCTTATACGCCAACTCGCGAGGCTCCCATAGATATCTGCCGAGAAAGATAGACGTTCGGCATCGTGGCCATCGTTTATGATGAAGCGTTTTCTCGAGTCGATGACTATAGTCTCCGGGGGGTGGCCATTGGTGCCCGCGGAAAGGAAAACGATCCTGGACCCCCTGGTACTCCGGAATATCCTTGAAAACGGGCCCCGCTGTCTCCCGGACAAAGAGACGATTGCCGAGACAACGTAGATTTTCCTCGTCCTCGATGTCGAAGTTCGTTTTCGATACGCTTCGAGGACGCGTCGATAGCAAAAAGATTAGGGGGTTATTGGAGGACACGTCGACGCTTCGGGACGTTGTCTGGATTTTTGTCGGAGGCTGTACGCGGCTGAGGCCACCCAAAGCTGGAGAGGACTCGAGGTGGGTGCTCCCTGGAAGGGACGTGGGGAAGGGAGAAATCCACGATGTTAATTTTAACTTAATTAAGGCTTAATTGAGAGGAAAACATTATACTCCGCGAGCGCGACATTGCCCCAAGGGGCTCCTGCATCTGCAACGCAAATCCGGATTTGAAATTTCAAAAATCGCGGCCCGCCCGCCTCACTGCCCCTCTCTCTCTCTCTCTCTCTCTCTCTCTCTCTCTCCTCTCTCCGCCCTTCCTCTACTCTTACCCGCTCGGATTCAGCCCCCTCTCCGATCGGTGTGTTCGTTCAAGTCGATCGATGCGAACCCCCCGCCCCCGTCGGGGGTGCAAGATCGCGGATCGTGGTCAATTAGAGAAGGTGGAGGAGGGCTGCCTGGTGATACCGGCGGCCACCGGCTGATCCTGGAAACGAAAAAAACAAAAAGAACAACCCACCCGCCGTTTGACGTTCGCAGCGTGGCCCCGTTTAATGGATTTATTTAAATACGATCGATCGATGGACGCGATCGCACCGTTTCGTGACCGGTGAACCGTACACGCCTTCCGCGAAACTATTCCATACAAAGCTCTCCCAAGTACTGTCTGCCCGAGCATGACNTCGGTCTCGTGTCCACGGTCAATCCCCATGCGTCTATGTGTCCATCTATATGTGGTGAGTCCCGCGCCGGCAGCCCTGGCGCGCATCAGCAACAGCACCGAGCCACCAGCAGAAGCAGAAGCAGGAGCCAGAAGCAGGCGGCCCAGCACCAGCACCAGCACCAGCACCAGTACCAGCATCGGCACCAGCACCAGCACCGCCAGCCAGCCAGGCAGCGGGAGCAGCAACGTTGGCCATCGCGTTGTCTGATCATCCTCGCCCTAATGAAGGCTGGTTTATCTGAAGGCTTTCGATTCCCAGTAGAACCCATACCACACGTATGCAGTGGTGGTGGTGGACACCTTCGCGGTGGTGCTAGCCACCAGCTCGTACATCCGCGCGCAAAAGTCTTGCCCCGATCCGAGCACGGTATCTTCGAGACTCGGACGATTGGCACGGAGCTGCTGCTAAAATACGGAAGCTGGCTCCATACGGCTCCGATCGTTCCCGAGGTCTCGCCTTCAAATTCTGTCGTTTCCTTTCCATCGCCGTGGCTCGAACGATGCCGGAACAGCCGTCTCAAGATTCAAAAAGTCTCTCCGCGTAATTCGTTGCACCGGGCGAGAAATTGTTCGATCGATTAACAAAGCAAGAAGTTATCGAGAAAAATGATTAACCTCTGGCCGGGCGTGGCATAATCGTTGAAAGGCTTGATTATAGGCTTCCGGTAGCCGAGGATGACGAATGTTATTCCTTTGCTGCTCTTTTGCTATTGGCGCGTAAGTGTGGGCGTTGCGAATCCTCGCGCAAGTACCTGTTTTCGTGCTTTCAATCGTCTCCGATCGTATCGCGCATATTTGGGAGCAGTCGCTGCTTATACGCCAACTCGCGAGGCTCCCATAGATATCTGCCGAGAAAGATAGACGTTCGGCATCGTGGCCATCGTTTATGATGAAGCGTTTTCTCGAGTCGATGACTATAGTCTCCGGGGGGTGGCCATTGGTGCCCGCGGAAAGGAAAACGATCCTGGACCCCCTGGTACTCCGGAATATCCTTGAAAACGGGCCCCGCTGTCTCCCGGACAAAGAGACGATTGCCGAGACAACGTAGATTTTCCTCGTCCTCGATGTCGAAGTTCGTTTTCGATACGCTTCGAGGACGCGTCGATAGCAAAAAGATTAGGGGGTTATTGGAGGACACGTCGACGCTTCGGGACGTTGTCTGGATTTTTGTCGGAGGCTGTACGCGGCTGAGGCCACCCAAAGCTGGAGAGGACTCGAGGTGGGTGCTCCCTGGAAGGGACGTGGGGAAGGGAGAAATCCACGATGTTAATTTTAACTTAATTAAGGCTTAATTGAGAGGAAAACATTATACTCCGCGAGCGCGACATTGCCCCAAGGGGCTCCTGCATCTGCAACGCAAATCCGGATTTGAAATTTCAAAAATCGCGGCCCGCCCGCCTCACTGCCCCTCTCTCTCTCTCTCTCTCTCTCTCTCTCTCTCTCCTCTCTCCGCCCTTCCTCTACTCTTACCCGCTCGGATTCAGCCCCCTCTCCGATCGGTGTGTTCGTTCAAGTCGATCGATGCGAACCCCCCGCCCCCGTCGGGGGTGCAAGATCGCGGATCGTGGTCAATTAGAGAAGGTGGAGGAGGGCTGCCTGGTGATACCGGCGGCCACCGGCTGATCCTGGAAACGAAAAAAACAAAAAGAACAACCCACCCGCCGTTTGACGTTCGCAGCGTGGCCCCGTTTAATGGATTTATTTAAATACGATCGATCGATGGACGCGATCGCACCGTTTCGTGACCGGTGAACCGTACACGCCTTCCGCGAAACTATTCCATACAAAGCTCTCCCAAGTACTGTCTGCCCGAGCATGACGGATACGAGGCTTCCTATGCCGAGAACAATTTTCCGCAACTTTCATTTTAATTACGGATTCCTGTCTACGAATCGGAGAGACTTAGACGATAGTTTGAGAGACAGTACTTTAAACGTGTGACGAGTATCGGTTCCAAGGGTCAGAGAGCTTGTCGTCTTCGCGAGGAAACAATTTTTGTTTCGTTGAAGTTTGTGCGCGGAACGATTTTTAGCAAGCTATAAAGTTCCTCGGCTCGCGATAGAATATATTTAGTCGTTCGTAAGCCAGAATCTCGAGGAGCAGGTGATTTGTCGTGGCCGACGAAAGAAAGACGTATGAAATTGATCGGTAACGAGGATTATCGTTCGACGATCGCGGTTAACGGAGTAAAAACGGGTCGCTGTCGGAGCGTGACAGGGACAGGGACAGGGCCGTTTACACGTATCACGGGCGCAGTCATGCATTTAGAAACTTCTGAAAAGGGACCCGTGGTTTCTCGTGGTCGTCGCCATCGCCATCGTCGCTCGCCGCTCGCCGCTCGCCGCTCGCCACATCTCCTCGCGGCCACAGAAAAGCACGTACGCTCGAATGAATGGGGCCCACCGTTTGATTCGTAAACGTTATCCGGTTCCACGGTTAGCGTCCGACACCAGTCGCCACTGGGAACCTAAGCACTGTTTCGCCGACTTGTAAACACTTAAGCGATTCCGCGTAGCGATCGGTAAATCGTTCGATTCTACGACTCGCGAGATCAAACCGATTCTCGAAACTATTCGTCGTTAATCGACGCGTCGACGAATATCGAATTATCGTTGCCACTCGAGGCTGTTTTATTTGCTCGGACGTACGGATCAATTTTTGTAAACGGAGCCGAACGACGCTGTCAGATCGTGTTTCTAATTCGACGAAGCTCGGAGAAAAAAGGAGAGCATTGAGATGCAATGCTCGCTTATTTTTACAGTAAATAGAATGGCATACGAATTGCCGTGGAAAGCATTATTCGAAATTTCAATAAATATAAGGAAATTTCGAACGCTATTAGGTCGAGGTCTACCGCAACGATAAAGCTCGGGTCAAAGCCAAACAAACGATTCCAATAAACGAAACAGTCGAGCGAACGGTCTCTGAGGCGAAGCTCGACGACGGGTGACGTCACTTCCGTTTCCTGGTGCGCGGTGGCCGCGTACAGGGAACACTGTCGCTCATTTTAATCGAGAAAACGGGTCTCGATTCGACGAACCTTTCTCTCTCTCTCTCTCTCTCTCTCTCTCTTTCTCGCCTCGATAAATATAATATCGATGTATTCTCTGGTAACGATAGCGGCGCGGCCCGTTTCGGTTTTCTGATTACACGCCGCACCATAGCCGCGCCGAAATTAAAAGTGACCCGAATTTATGTTACCACCGGGTCCGCTGGTTTATGACCGGCAAATGGGCTTGAACGAGCCACCAATTTTGCGCAAGTACAACAACCATGATGGACGTTCTACTCGACGAACTTGGAAAAAGAATAATTTTTACTGCAGATTTTATGCATCCGTGATAAAAATCAGGAGAAATCGGGAGGAACATCTGGAGAATATAGAAACACCGTTGCAATTAGTTCTCCAATTCGTGCGGATAGTTGTCGCTTTGTATAAAAATCTTCGGAAATTTATAGATCAATAAAAATATAACTTCGCCTGAATTTCAAACATGCATGCGGATGAAAATAGCATACTAATCGGTATCGAAGCACCTCGAAGCAAAAATCATCGATGAAACGATAAATCTGCGATAGTCCGCAAAGTATCCTAATCGGTAGGAAGTGGCAAGGAGAAGCATAGAGCGAATCAGCATCCATTTTGTCAGAGGAGATCGGCATTCGCGTTCGCAGACCGATCGAGCCGTGGAATTGCGTTAAACCACGAAAGGTGCTCGAGCATAGTATCGCGTCGATGGTGTAGAAGGGTAGGGTCACCAGGATGAAGGAAGAAGAGGTGGTGGCGGAGGTGGAGGAGGAGGAGGAGGACGCGGAGGGGTCACGGGAGTAAGGGGGTACGGGGCGGGTGGTGGGGGCGAATTCATCATCAGTCCAAGTCAGGAATTATAACGGAGCGATTCATCACGAGAGGCCACCGATCCGTCATGCCGATCCACGTGTGCAAGCCGTTTTTGAATATCCCGCGGACGTATATCTGTATATCTCAGTTAACCCACGTAATATCCAACAGGATGGTTTTTCACCAGCGACCTTGGCGGCTTTAAGACCCTTCCCTCGAACAATGCTCGGAATTTTTACGGTGGCCCGGCTAGCGAAATGCAAATTCCCAACCCCTTACCGTTCCGCGCTCTCAACCGTTTTCTCTTATTTATATCTACCCCCTCCGCTCGCTTTTGATTAATCGACCGCCTCATTAATTATGACAGTCTATTATGTATGCATTGCTACGCGGGACGGTCCGATCCGCTCGCTGGTCCGTTGTCGAAATCCTGGCAAACTTTTCTTCCTTTTCTTTCTGGAAATTCCGCGCTTCTGCTCTCTTACAGAATTCTCTTTTCATTCGGATACACCGGATATATGCGATCTCTGCCCCATAATTGGATCATACGTAATTTTATGCAGAACCGTCGCTCCAGTAACGATCCAAGAAACTGTGAAAAATTCCAAATAATCGACGAACGAGGCGATCTTGCTACGCGCCACGAAAATCGTCGATCGGATCGACTCCGGGACGCAGGGCTGTCGATCGATCCCCGAGGAAGCCGTGTTTCTAACGAACGCCGTTTTAATCCTGGGTTCTTTGGCGCCGGGTATCGTTCCGCGCGCATGCATGCATGCCTGGCAAAAAATTTTATTGGCAGTTTGAAGGCGCACGGGACGTCCAGCCGGCGGAGTGCGCAAGAAACAAGGACGAGCGGCCCCTAAATCGTCGCCGCGATCCGCGCCGTGCCGCGCCGCGCCGCGCCGCGCGGAGCTCTCGATCTCGATCTCGGTCTCGATCGGCCTCGCCGATGATCCACCCGCGCCTGTCAGCCGCGTCATTCACGGCTGTATATCGCGTGTCGTGTTTCATCCGATCGTCTCGAATTGTTATTTGCGGTATCGTTGCCCGCCGCGGATTTTTAAACACGTCGAATTCCAGAGCCTGGCACCGCTTATAAACACGCCAGAGCCGAGAGAGTCGTTTCCACCGACGATCGACCAGGCCCGGAGAGGAGAGGGCGCAGCGGTTTATTATGCCAGTAAGCAAATTACGATCGAAATGACTCGACCGTGTCGCGTGACTAATTGATTAAGCCTGCTCGCGATACCGGAGTACTTAGACGAGCCGAACTGGTTCCGACTTTCGCAATTTCGATGGAATCACCGGCCCGGTTCCGCCTCGCCGTGGCTTTCGCAACCTTTCGTCACCTTGGCGACCGGCTTCTCGCCCTCGAACGGGATCTAGGACCACGAGATCTCTTCCATCTCGACTTCTGGCCGGTTCTAAGCCTATTTTTACGAGAACTTTTCCATCGGCGTCCACTCGGGCAAATCTAATTGCGAATTCTAGAGCCGTAAGTCGATAGCCGCGGGAAAAGAATGCCACGAATTCGCCAGAGGTCCAAGAGTTTCGTCATTTTTCAGGCTGGTCCAGAAATGAAGACGTCCCAGCCGCAGAAAGGTTCGAGCCGCGCACCGGCGCGGCGCGGCACAAGTCCGAAGACGAATGGTGAAACATGGAAGATCGCCGGACACCTGGACACCTGAAGGAAACGTCCACCCACGCGGGCCAGGCTTTCATTGTCCCGGGAGAGTCCCGGATCGTAGGCAGAGCCGGCGAAGCGACAACTAGAGAAACGATGAATGCCAGCATCCGACGCCCGAGACAAGTGTGCGAATGTCGCAACAGCTACGATTCCATGGAACCTCGAATTTCCAGAGACGTCGCTCGATTACTCGAAACGACGCGCGACGTTTCCCTGAAACGATCTCGAGACGGTCGGCGGTCTCTGCGACAGTATTCCTGGTCGTCCGATCGGATGAACTAGCTATCGGGGACGTCGAACAGTCGGAGGAAGGTCCTCGTTCCTAGAGATCCGATCGATAAGATGGATCCTGGCCACGAGAAATCGTGAGAATTTCTAGAGGGTCATCGTTCTCGTTCGATGCATACCAGAAACGGAGATAACCCGGCAGGATATGCTTCGAATAAGAAGTCATTACAATGGCTGTCAGGAAAAGGCGAGCCGCTTATTAACGTCGAAACCTCGACTCATCCTTCTTTCTCTCTTTCCGTTAAACATCTCCGACCACCGGAGCTTCGGAGCACCGGTTGCTTAGGATTAGATTCTTTATAGAAAGCAGAGGCGTACTTCTGCATTGTCGATTCATTATTGCATCGGCAAATACCATTGCCGTTTCGTTATTTATGCCGAGAAGCAAATAATTCTATCGGCTATGGCTGATAGAGCGTCAAATTTCTCGACTTCGGGTAGCAATGAAAAAAAATTAGAAAAATGTGACACCAAAGCTCGAGCCTTGCGGAACAACTTCCTGAAAACAGCCGGTCGAAATCATTTTCGGTTCTCCCAGAAAAAAATCCTAAAGTCGACCTACGCGATCCCAGAGTACCCCATGTTCGATGAATCAGCTTCGGCTGTTCAATTTTCCCGGAAAGATGAGGAGTCGCGAATAGCTCGAGAATACCCTTAAGATCCCGAGAACACTTTCGGCAGCCGGTCATCGGGCCCGATAGCGGCGGCGGGGCCCGAGAGGGTTGCAGGAGCGAGAGGTCGAGAGCGCGCGTCGCGTCGGCCGATCCAGGACGAAAAATTGAGGGGGAGGCTCGAGGGAGCGAGCGAAAACGGTTCCCGGTCGGTGATGGGGCACGGGGGGGGGAGGCAAATTCGTAACGAATTCTTTTGTTTCGAGCACCCCGAGAAAACGAGCAACTGAAGAGAAAACGATCCGGGACTGCTACTCGACGGTGGTGTGCAACGTGTGCAGCGTGTGCAGCGTGCACGGCGAAAGAGGAGAAACGAAGCTCGGGTCCCGGCACAGCGAAACCTTCTCTGCAGCCGTGTATGCAGCCTCTGCAAGAGTCGCAGAACACCCATACCATCGCGTATCCCACCCGTGTGTAGCTGGCGGGACACGGTGGTAGGTGTGCGCGTAACATCGAGCACGCGCGCGAGCGCGCCTCGGAATATAAGGTTTTATTTTCGAAATTTATGATTGTCAATAAATTTTAAAAGCGTTCCGTCTGGAGCCCTAAGGGCTGGCAGGGCTGGTCAGACCGAAAGTAGTCGTCGAGAGGGCCAGATCTCTCCCTTTCTCTTTAAAATCTGCTCTCTCTTCTTCGTTCACCGCGGTGCTCTCTTTCCTCTTTCTTTCTTTCCACGTTTCTTCTTTTCTTCTTCTTTCGCACGTTGTTCCCTTCTTCTGTGGCAGACCCCCTCCCTCTCTCTCTCTCTCTCTCTCTCTCTCTCTCACTCTATCTTTCTCGCTCGCTCGGCCATTCTCCCTTCCTCTCTTCATCCGTATACCGGCGTACCCCGGGCCCCTATGGGGATTCGGGTTTAGCGGTTAATTGCGTTTGGTGCAACCCGCGTGGATTTTACAACCGCGATTTTCATCCTTTTTTTCCCTCTCCAGGCCCGAGAGACTTTCGACTTTCGACTGGCTGGGACTCCTACTATACTACCATCGCGCTTTCGTTTCTTCTGCTTCTACACTCGACTGCTCTTGGCCTTCTCCTCCTCCTCCTCCACCTCCTCCTCCTCCTCCTCCTTCTTCTTCTTCTTCGACCGCTTATACCTCCCTTCTTCTTCTACTTCGTTCTAGTCCTTGTTCCGTTTCTCGTTCGACAGGGCGCGACGTTTAATTGTTCGGGCCCCGGCTCTCAAATCGCCTTTCTCGCCGCTCGACGTTTTTCGGCCACTCCCATCGATCCCCTTGCCAATTGCTATGGTGTCGCGGACCCAGCAGTATGGACCCAAAACACGAAATCTCACGGAAACTTAGACGGTTATTAACCTGGCGATAATTCCCTGGTGTCGACGGAACGATACCATTCACCGTGAAAATAATAGCTGCTATTTAGAGCCGGTGGACGGATTGAAAGAATTTTAGAGGATCGTCCCATTATTTTGAACTTGTCATTAAACGGTTGCAAAGACGATTTCATTTAGTCTCGCGCGGATAAATTCATCTTTTAATTAGCCTGGAAATGCACAAGCACGAGCCCGTCCTCGTGAATCGTGTTGCAAGGATTAAGAAAAAAACGATGCTCGAGGAAAATAAATTTTGAACGATACAGCGTGCCCGACAGCGATCGGTTTCCAAGTTTCCGATGAAAGGGGCAACGGAGGGTGGTAATTTAAGGGTGCAGCACCCCGAGCCGTGTTTCTCGAATCGCGCGGGAATTTTCTGGTCTCTCGCGAGCGCAGACGCGGGCGCAGGCGCTGGCGCTGGCGCAGGCGCACGCGCGGCCGCGGCCGCGAAAAATGAATCCCCTGGAGATGAATTAATGAGCGTAGATTAGCGGCCGGCGTAATTTATGGCGGCTGGTGCCCATGCCCGGACGATGCGAATCTGAGCTTTTATATTACGTGGCGTGCATCCACCACCATCAAAGCGCTATGCTCCATTTTTCGTCGCGGGGATCCTCGTGTCCGCTTCCACCGGCTCGATCCTCTCCTCTCGATCCACCTCGATCCACCTCGATCCACCTCGATCCACCTCGATCCTGCCGTAGCTGGTGCACGCCGCGTGTAATTTCTTCGTATACGAAAACCGATATTTCACGGCTAATCACCAACATTTCGGAGGCGTGGAAAAGACGTTCGTTATTCATCGGGTGTCCCCCCGGGACATGCGTGCGAACCGAGAAGGAGTATCGAGGATCCAGGGATCGAGGGTGGATGCGAGAGAGCTCCTCTCTCGATCCTCTCTCCGTCTCCGCGCGTTTTATTGGGTTTATGAACGGTAATTAGCGAACCATTGTCGGATCTACGGGTTTTTGATCTGCCCGAGAAATGGGTAGCTGCGATCCGGCGATCGAGCGCG